CTCGCCCGAGGCTGCCCTGGCGAAGCACAGCTTCCCTCCCCACGCTCGCGGAAAGCGATTTCCGCCCTTGTTTCGCTTTCTTTTACCCGCCTCGCCTCACCCCCACCCCTCCGCCCCGGTCTTTGATGCTTGTTGTCGTGAAGGAGGTCCCGGTGGAAAGCTGCGAAAGCGCCTGCTTGATCGCCTTCCTCGTTTGTGGTCTTGTCCTTAGTGTTGAGGGAGCATGGTGCTGCTGCCAAGCGTTTCGTAAATATTTGCCTTAATGAGCACCCAAATGGATGAGGTGTCCTCTGTCCAAGTAGTTTCTGATAGTGCAAACAGCAGTAATGTGGTATTAAATATAGCCTGGATCATGTCATGTGAGGGATCTTCATGAGAAGATCGTGGTACCTACCTGAGGCGAGCGAGGGGTAAGAAACCAGCTCTGGTTAGTGGCCGTGTCCCGCTGCACCTGCGGCCTCGCCGACTACATCTCCTTGTCCGTCGGCCTCTGTTTCTTCACTGATGGAGACACGTGTAATTTTGGGAGTTGTTTGGCGGTTGGACATGAGGTTATGCTGCATCTCCTTAAGCCATACAAGGCAAAGCAAACCTGTGATTTCCAATCACCATCTTTTAGGCTTCTACAAACTTTCTGATTAAAAATACATATTGCTTTAACCCATGAATACCTCAAAAGTAGTGAAGACAGTTTTTCTCCATTTTACTTCATAAAGGAATAACCTTGGATCTGAGATGCAAACTGAAAAAGTCCCAGTTCTGACTAGAAACTCCAAACAGGCTAAATTCACTGTATGTCTTTGCATGAGTTTGTCTCATGAGTGAGTATTATATGCGGCACCATTATTTGTGTTTCTTGATTCCAGTTCCAAAATAACTTTTTGAAGGGCAGAACGTTTACCTGGAAGCAGAGTCTGGAATGAAAATCAGAAGGACAATCGAAATTTTAATGATATTCTGGCTTGAACAGTTCTGCCACAATAGTACTGTGCTTTTCGGCATACCTACATCTGCTTTATACCTCTGACACTACCCTCCCATGGCT